TTTTTTTTTTCTTGCAACATCGAAGCGGGTGCGCCAGGCAAACAGGAGAGAATTTGTCCCGACGACAGTACACAAATAAGCAAATAAGTGAGGTGCAGAAGAAAATGAAGAACCAAAGAGCGCCCCAAGACAACAAAAAGAAAACTCAACTCTGCCCACGCCCATGCTGGAACTTCACTCAACAGTACAGTAATAGTGTCGATCCATTTCGTTCTTTGTTGGCCCCGTAAGCGTGGGCGCTACACCATAAATCGAACACAACCTCATTAGTGCCGGTACCGGCACTAATGAGGGATTGGCCAGCCCTCAATAGTGCCGTTTTGGCACTATTCGCAATAGTGCCGGGTGCCCGATTTAGTGCCGGTGAACGCTCTGTGCACGTACCGGCACTAAAAGGGTCCCTCGACTGTATTTTCTTTCTATCATTTTGTTTTCTTTTTCCGAGTGGTTTGTACCCTATTTTTGTTTTGTTTCCCCGCGGTGTCGTATGTGCCGGGTTTTGAGACCACGGGCTCCCCATTTTGTGTGTGGACAATAGAGCTAATGTGAGAAACAACAAACAACAAACAAACCGAAGCATGCCGCCTGCGCGTGCATGCCATTTTTCATCCAAATCCGACCTTCCCACCGGCTACGTGGAACACATCACTGCAAGGGTTTGTCGTCTTGCTCTCCACCCAACAGCAGTACGCATTCGTGCCAAGTTTTGTGCCAATTGGCAACGTATTACATGTACATAGCGCGTTGTCGTGTTCCCCAGGAAGTGTCGTCGGCTCGGTTGGAGGTTCCGCTTGGGTGGACTTGAGGTATTTCACTGCTGAGTTCTAGCGCTCGCTGTGGTGTATGGAGTTTCATCGTACTGGAGTACTTGGGTCTCTCGCTGGCTATTGGAGACATCTACAGTCGTAGTGTTGCTTCATCTTGGAAGGAGTACATAACGTTGTTTTATTTCGTCAGTATGACCCAACGAATCCATCTCCATCACTCTACAGAAAAGAGTCTACAATAGACTAGCAATGGATCCATAGCGTCAGCAAAAGTTCTGTTTTTCCACGATTTCCCGAGCAGCACACGGCGATATCTCCCGTGCGGGTAACAGGGTCAACAAGATAGTTTGGAAGTCATCTTGTGCATCTCTCTGTACGCTATGCTGGGAAGGTGTACATGGAAGGTGATGGTTGGAATGGTGTGGTAGTGGTGCACTCTGGAGAAAAACACAAGACACACACGGTAAAACATTTTACTCCCTGCTTTCTTCGCGTTGATCCCTAGCTGGCAGCGCGTGGTTGTGGCGTCACGGTTTCAGCATATATGCGTAGGCGAGCTTCAGCTGGCGAACATTGGCACGTGTACACGAACAGTTTGGCGTGTACGCATGTTAGTACATTGCGTTTTTTTTGTTTTTCCCACCGCGCAGCACTATATGTAGTCTATATAGTGCAGGAGGTCGGATTTGCTGGCATTCTTAACATTCGATGCACCGATGGGGACGCACATAACGCCATGTATCCCGCCAATAGACCTGCTCGAGAGCTGTTTACCTCCCGTGGGAGGCTCTCAATAACGCCGGTTGAATAACGCCGGTGGCCCTCTATAGCGCCTGTGCAATTGCTGGGCACAGCCAGAGCCCGCAATAATAACGCCACACCGGCGTTGTTGAGGGCGGCCAGCAATAACGCCGGTTTGGGCACCTCTACACCCTGCAATAATAGCGCCGGTTGCTTTTTTTTACACACACACAAACCACGCGCCTGCCCTAAGGAGTTTACACACCAGTAGGGGTCCACACGATACAGACCCTGCAGCTCTACGTAGAGGCGAACCATGCCATGTGTGGAAGGTGATTTGTGCAAGTCGCCCGACATTTTGCCAGAAACCTCTCATGCGCAACGCTGTCAGCGAGGATGTGGCGGGCGGCTTCAGGGCAATTGCGAAAGCATCGCAGTCCGTGTCTAGCCAAAGCTGGCAAGGCGAAAGAGTACTGCTGTTGCACGTTTCTCGTCCACATCTCATTTACTTCGAGTTGTTCGATTCTTTGCAACAATGTAACGGTTTCCATTCAATGGTGCATTGGGTGAAGTTGTGTCGTCATTTATTTGCTGTCGCGGAGTCCTCTCTGTAACAGCAACGTTCCGGCTGCACAGCGCCAATTCGTGAGGCAGGAAGATCAGCATGCTGCCGCCTCTCTAGGTGATTATCATAATTTAAAAACAAAACTCTAGGCAATCCAGGAACATAATTTATCTTTTGCAGTCCGCCTTCTTCACCACTCAATCGTTTCTTATTCAATTAATACGTTGGGTCCGTAAGGCGCAATCGCTGTGCCACATGGCCACAACCCCTCGTAGTGCCACAACCGGCGATCTTAAGGGTTTCTGAGCCCTCAATAGCGCCGGTTTTGGCGCTATTGAGGCACGATTCCAATCGCGCCGGTCGCTCTGAATAGCGCCGGTCGATGCGCTGGGTACATACCGGCGTAATTGAGGGGCCCCCACTGCTGCAGTACTGCTGTAGTACTGCTGTAGTACAACCTACCACACCCCAAGCACCACCAACCTAGCGCAAGACCTACCCACGCACGTCAGCAACCAAACCTAACACTCTACTACAGGTAGATTTCACACCAACACCTATCGCAATGCCGGCACACCAACCTAACTTGGCCAGCGCCAACCTACAGACTGTAGCGCGGGTGGGATTGGGGTTGTTAGGGTTAGACTAATAGAAAGAGTTAGGGTTTGGGGTCATGCCCCTGTCTGTGCCAAAGCAGAGCATCTTGTGATCAGAAAGAAGTACGTACTGCCAGAATGGCGTTGATTGGACATAATAATCAACTGGTTGCCGGTTGATGGGGACAAGATGCAGCTCTTCTTGGAGGTAAGGTAATTTAGAAACTGCTGTAGGTATAGTCTAGACTATTATACAGTCCTTTCTTTGTCCGGCGTGGGATATTTTGGCCCGCGAAGGGTACGGTGCGTAGCGTACAGCATGCGTCCCCCTGGGTTATGTTGTTGTAAACCGTTCCGGTCTCCGCTCATCAGTACCTCTAAGTCCAATGACCGAACTGGTCACAAGCCAACTGGATGCATACAAGAAGTAGTTTAGACTCTACACGTACAATGCACACCCTTCCTCTATTATTGCTCGTTACATCGATCTCGTAGTTTGCTCGGCCGAAACGTCGGTGAAGGGGAGCTACGGGCAGGTAGATTACCGTATATGACACAAGATAACACACCCCCTGGACCGATTTTCAAAGCTCGATTACTCCACGGCGAAGAGGATGCATGAACGAAATGATTTATATATTTTTATTTTTCTTAACATGACACAACGAGTCCATCTCTATCATTGATAAGAGTCAGAGACAGATTAACAATGGAATCATAGAGTCAGAAAAACTACCTGTATGTCTACGATTTCCCAGACAGCATATAGGGACATCTNGGATGCATGAACGAAATGATTTATATATTTTTATTTTTCTTAACATGACACAACGAGTCCATCTCTATCATTGATAAGAGTCAGAGACAGATTAACAATGGAATCATAGAGTCAGAAAAACTACCTGTATGTCTACGATTTCCCAGACAGCATATAGGGACATCTCCCCTGCGGATAACAGGCTCAACAAATCAGTTTGGTAGCCGTCTTGGGTGTCTCATATATGTAATGTTGGGAAGGTGCAGACGAAGGTTTTGGGTACTGTTGGTTAGTCGGGCGTTTTGTGTGTCGCACCTGTTAGTTGTAGGACATGCAATTTCGAAAAGCTCTCGACGAGACGGTTTCAACGCCGCCGTTTTCGGCGCNGGTGTCTCATATATGTAATGTTGGGAAGGTGCAGACGAAGGTTTTGGGTACTGTTGGTTAGTCGGGCGTTTTGTGTGTCGCACCTGTTAGTTGTAGGACATGCAATTTCGAAAAGCTCTCGACGAGACGGTTTCAACGCCGCCGTTTTCGGCGCTGTGACTGTTCCTGCAGTTGAGAAATCGAGCTTCGAAAATCGGGCAAGGGGGTGTGTTATCTTGTGTCATATACGGTAGAGACGGAAAGCAGCCCACGGGTGAATGCGGGACCGCAACCAGAGGACAGCAGCGTAAGAGACAAGTCATCAGTTTGTTGACAATGTGTGAGTTGGTTCGCGGCATATCTTTCTTTGCTACGACAGTCGCTGTGGCAGGCGGTCTGTGTGCTGTTTGCTCACCGGGCCGTTTGTTGGTCTCTATCTTCGACCCGAGCTCTCCGAAAACCTCCCACGCCGCGCCGGAGAAGGAGTGCAATCAGGACGTCGCGAGGGGTGGCTGATCTCTGGCGACCTCCAGCTTTCCTCTGTCCGCGTCGGACCAGGATCTAACGGAGCAAGTAATTCTGGAAGTTGTATTGCCCGCCTTTCGGAAAAGATTTAGCGTGCCTAGTTTCTAGCTGAAGTATGATGACGAGTTGGTCTGAATAATTACATAAACCCACCAACGGTGTACCGCAACCTAGCGCCGTGACTTGCCCGGAGCTCATACGTCACCAGCCACACGTGTTGCTCCCTATCACGTGCTCCCTAGAGAAAACACAAAAAAATATAGGCCGAAAAAGAGGTCGGGTACCACGAGCATAATAAATATGTCTGCGGAGCCCCCTCTGCGTGCATGGGGTCGCGCTCCATGGCTCGTTGACACTGCTTTTTCAGCACGCCAGTACTCGACGCTCAGGAGGAGGACGGAGACGAAACTGGGCAACAAGTTCAAGAAGGTCACATAGTACATGTGAGAGTCATTTTATATGATGTGGATTTCCTTGGGTGGGAGAAAATTGAGTCGTTGACCTGAAGCCGCTTGGCGGCCTGTTATACCCCCCGTTGTTCCGCCGCTCTGGGAGGCGAACTTTGACGACAGGTTGACCCCCCGTAATGTTGACCGAATGGAACAGCGCTCGGAGGCTGGAGTGATTGATAAGCATAGATCTGATAAATCGCTTCTGGAACTTTGGATCAGCTTTGTGAAAGCGTGAAAGCCGAAGCAGACCTTCGCGCGCCGGTGCCTCATAACGCGGCGGAACTTCCTCAACCGACGCAGCTCCTACGGCCGGCCGTGAGTCTGTGCTGCCGCTGCGGCCGCAAGAGCTATGGAATGATAAGCTGCAGTCATTAACACTCTTCAAAATACTCCTGTTTTTGTCTAACCACTCTCGGTTTTATGTGCACCGATTCTGAACAGGTTGTATTCCTATGTCGGCAACTGGGACCCGTTGTACCGCATGCCTCCGCGAAACTGGTTTCCGACACATGCGGCCAAGGACCAGCAACCAAGTCCGGGGTTTCGTAGAGGAGGTCGGTATCTCAAACCAGTTTCCGGCCTTGGACGAGGCGAATTGAGGCGTCAGCGCCCTCGTACTGTGTAAACGTCCGTCTTGCTTGTTGCAGCTGTACAAAAAGCACGAGCAAAGGGCTAGCAAGGACCGTCGTAACGACCGGCGAGCGCGCAAGGCAGCTCGGACGCCTCGCCATGCCAAGGTGTGGAGGACTGCTCCTGAACCACAAACGCACTTGAGGCGTCGATGGCTCGATAGGTACTGCACTTCGCCTGAGGCGGCGGATGCTTTGCTGGGTGCTGTGGATATCACCGGATGCGTTTTGGACATGTGCGGTGGGCCCACGGACGCCGTCGCGACCTGTCTTCGATCCGCGTGCGAGATACTCACGAACGACGTGAGCTCGAGGTAAGAGCGTTGTTCTTGTGCGAGTTAGCTTGAACGTACCCAGCAGCAGGAAAAAGTCCTTGCACATAAGATGGTGAGATAATAGTGCAAGGAAATACAGGGGGCAGCCGACAAAGGACCTCCGGGCAGCAGTTTTTATGTGGAAATCATACTGCAATGATTATGGTAAGGACTGTTCAGGCCCGACATGCACGTGATCATCACATTGTGCCGCAGGTACCGAGCAATACAAAAGCGAATGCCACGTGTTTTTCATGGATACGAACTTCGTCCTGCTCTTCTGTGAGTTTGCCCCGGGTTATTTACCCCCCCCGACATTAATAACCGTTGCTCAGGGGCTAGACGTTCCATGGGTTGGTTTTTGGCTTTGGCTGTTGCCATATGTACCAAGTGTCTTGCAAGGGTGACGTCTACGTTTGACAGACAAGATTCCGTACTGCACGGCCTCAACCGCACAAGTTCGTGTGCCCTTTGACAGGCATGGGCCACGCTCCTTATAGCATGTTTGGGGGGCATCTTTCTCGAACACAGGCGTTGCTACTGTAAATCCAGGGGGTGTCTTTGTTGAAGAGGGAGCGTTTCACACGTTTGGCGAAATGGCCACATGCTGGCGCATGGTTTTATTTTCCGTATCATGCGCGCGATCGCTGAAATGTTTTTTGCTGTTGTTCTCGATGACAGGCGTCCAGCGGATACCAACCTTGACGCAAGCTTGGAATCATTCCCGGAAGACTTTCTCGCAGCTTACTCCGGGAAAAGGCCTGAGTGGGTGGTGACGAGCCCTCCGTACAGCAGGGCTCTGACTTTTGTCAAGGCCGCCAAAAGGCGTGGCGTTCAAAATGCCCATTTCTTTCCTGGAACCTTGCGCCGACCGGGGTGGTTGGCTGCAAACGAACCCCCCGTCTGTGAGTCTGTTTTTTCGCAGAGCAAAATACACGCGTGCGAACAATGCGAGGATGGGCGAATTCTAGGGTGTGTGGTATACTCAGGAAGTGAGCTGCCGCAACGAGACGAGGCTTGTTTTCTGTCCTGAATAGCACGGCTGCAGTTGGGTAGCGAAATGGTTTAGTTGGGTTGGGACATATGCAAGGCGTAACGTCCCCGCAAAACTTATTTTCAAGAATATTGGTTGTGGGAGTAGATATATATCCTCTTGAAGACATCTATTTCGGGGATGCGACATGATTATGCCCCGAGCGAAGTTGGCATGTTTTCGGGGCGTGCTCTAAGCAAACAAGCAAACGTATGGGTGTGGCCGTATCGCGTGCACGTAATGAGTTCTGGTGTCATGTTTTTGTTTTGATTGCACTAAGGCGTTTTTTGTTGTTGTTGTGTGTGTTGTTTTCGCGGCAAGAATCCGGGCTTGCTCTCGAGCGTGTGCATTGCCTGGCTAAAAAACGGAGGTCGATTTATTTATTCCTTGAAGTAAGGGCCAGGACCAGCACGTGGGCCACCATTCATGCCGTAATCTCGACCGTGTGCTCATGCAAGCCCCCACAAACGTTTCGCTCACCGGCACACGAACAACATGTCGAATTCTCAAATTCACCGTTCGTTAGTCCCAGCACTCACGAGATTCAACTGTTGTCCTACATGATGCCGCCACGCGTTTCCCTCTTTCTGCTCATACTCTTCAACGTCATCCTCCAAAAAACTACCTAAAACCACGCCTCCACTCAAACCCGACTCGGCGTCCCTGGTCGAAGAATCAAACATACCCGGCAACTATTCCTCGTCGCTGTCGCTGTCACTATCTTCATCCATGTCCACTAGCCCTCCCTCAGCTGAACGATCTTCCTGCATATCACTTTCTTCAGTCTCTTCCTCGCGGCATGTAAGCTTGCACTTGCACAACTCTGAGCATTGGCCAAAACCTTTAGTGATGCACACGCAGCTTGTGCATTGACCCCATCGCTTCCTCTTCCCAGATGGACACGTGCACCTTACCGTTTCAAATCCACCCGGCCAAATAGTAACCTTAGGGAACCTGCGCATCAACATCATACAACCACCTTCAACCTCCGTATTCTCGATGTACCCCATCCCGTCCCATTTGGGAACTTGAATGGGGTACCTGGTGGAGACGTCCGAACCTGGAGAACCACTCGGCACAACGGAAAGCCAGTATTTTACCAACCACGACATGCGGACAACGCAAAGCTCGGTGGTATCGTAGTTCGGGGCGGCTTTGCTGAGGTTCCCGGCACCGTACCATTTTTCAGCAGTTCGCTCCTGAATTGCTTGTACGCACCGCCTCGTATCATCGACCTCCCCTCCCCGTTTATTTCCCGTGACTTCATGCCCCGGATACGCGTTAGCATACAAACTTTTGTTCTTGACGAAGTACGCAAGCGCAACAAACTTGACCAATTCTTGCCTCTCCAAATGTAAACCGGTGACCACCCCATCCTCTATTATTTTGCTGCCCAGGGCCTTGACAAATTGGTGGTTTTCCGGATTCTTTGCTAACTCGAAGTATGACTGGAACATGAAAAAAGAAGTCAAGCCAAAAAACGTAGGAGTAAAGTCAGTACCGTTGAGCATGTATAATGCAATCACCGGCAAGCACCTCTGCAAATCGTTGAACGAATGCGGCCAATTCCCCATTTTGGTCAGGGCATCGAAAAGCTCAAATACGTCGATGTAGTTAACGGGGACTTGATCATTCAACCCGCTCTGTTGTCGCACGATCACTCGAACTCTTCGAATGTACGGGCAAAGGGCATAGGCGAGAAGGGTCGCCACCCAAACGTCTGTGTCGACAGATACTACCTCCACCCGAACGGGTGGTGTTCCTCCTTGCCCCTCCTGGTTGATCTCGGAGCTACTGCCGTCACCCTCCCCCATCAGCGGCCTCTGTAGTTGACCGACCAGGTAGGCGTGGTGTAGTGCCTGGAGTTCGCCTTCCCCTATACCGTTCCCCTCGTCACAATGAATAAAACTGTCTTTGTCGTTGTGCCACGACTTAAAAATTCGTTGTCTCCAAAAAATCTTGGGATAGGATGGGCTCACCGTCGATCCGCAACCTTAAGTTTCCCAGACAATGCTCTGACCACGCCATAGCCGTGTTGTTGGACTTGTTGGCGCGTATACTTTTGAACTCCCCACGAATGAACTGGCATTAAACAGAAAAAACGCCGTCACGGTGCTGACGGTTCTTCAGGAAGTCCTGCCACTCACCCCGAAGTGGCGTGCGATCATCTAACCCAAACCGCCAATCTTTCTCCTTGCACAAGGGCTCATGAGGCTTTTTCCGTGCCCCCTTTGAACTGGGAAACAGCCCCCGCATATTGTGGGCAAAGCTCTTGGGCTTTGGCACCCAACTCCGCTTGTCGAAATTGAGAATTACCTGCGAGGGATACAAGCTTAGTGCGGGACATGGTGAACCAATCACACATACATACTGCAGGGACAATTTTTCTGCAACCGTACACGTGTGGGTGGCGAGCTGGCACACATAGTCCGCATATATGGAACTTGCTGGGTGCCACACATTGCTGCACACACGTTGAGCCACCGATGCAAGAATGGGAAAGCAGGCAAGA